AATCATGCTAGTTTAGATGATGCTAGCTTTTCATAATTCTTTTGGTGGTGAGGGTAAGCCCATTTCGGAGCATAATGTTAAAATTCTCGATACAATTGAAAATGATGAGTGATGCTTTTTGGGACGTTTCCTGGGGTTAATCCGAACCAAGTGATGAGTCTAAGCGTTTCTATGAACAAGTTACTAGAAGCTAGTCGTCCAATTTTATGAAGGTTTCGGTACATTCCAAGTTGTCCTGTTGCGGTTAGATTGCTAAGTATTAAATCGGATAGTTCTATCTCTCAAGCGGGCATGGATTCTATTATTGGGCTTATGAATGAACTTAATCCGAGTAAACATTGACTTACCAAAAATTTCTACACTACTAAAAAATTGGTTTTCTTAAGTTGGTCTTTCATCAGAGAGAATTGATTATTGTGAGAAAGGTTGCATGTTATTCTATAAGGTTGACGCATCTCTAGAGAACTGTAAATTTTGTAATCAGCCTCGTTTTAAGGAAGTCACAATACCAATACAAAAAAAGAAAGTTCAGTTAAAGCTGCATTACTTCCTCTTAATACCTAGGTTTAATAAGGAAAGAGAGGTTGTATGCATCAATGAGCTCTGCTCCTCATATGAGTGGCACTACGAAACATAGAAGACCACCTGGTATACTCTGCCATCCGTCAGATGGAGAAGCGTGGAAGCATTTTTGATAGGGTGTTCCCCGAGTTTGCTGTGAACCAAGAAACATTAGGCTGGGATTATGCACAGATGGATTTACTCCATTTGCTGTCTCTGTTCACCATATTCATGTTGGCTGGTGTTTGTTACTATATAATCTTCCGCCAGAGTTGTGTATGACCAGAGTCCATATCTGTTCCTAACTTGTATTGTTTCCAGGTCCACGCAATCCGAAAAAGTTTGAATTGATGTATACTTGCAGCCTTTGATTGATGAGTTACAATTATTATGTCATCAAGGTGTGGAAACATCATGATATATCAAACCAAAACAAAACTTCAGATTGCATGCTGCTATTGATGTGGACTAATAAATGATTTTTCTGGCTTATGGAATGTTGTCCGGGTGTCGACTGCTGGAAAGTTAGCTTGCCCTTGTTGTATGGAAGACACTAAAGAACATCTACTTTGAAACATGGAGGCAAAAAACATGGTTCGACTGCCACCTGTAGATTCTTGCCAATTGAATCATGAATTTAGGCGAAATACAAGTGCATTTATGAAGAACCGAAACTGATTTTTGAGGAGCCACCGGCCTGCTTGTGTTCAAGAAGAAATTTGGAATAGAGTAAGGGATATGCCCTAAAGTAACAGAGTCCTCCACCATCTAAGATACCGGGTTATGGTGTCCACACATCAACTGGACTAAACGAGCATATTTTGGGAATTACCTTATTGGAACACAAATCTTCTTCGTCATAATCTGGACGTCATGCATATCGAGAAGAATGTTTTTGACAACTTGTTTAACACTATTATGGATGTTACTAACAAGACCAAAGATAACTTGAAGGCCAGGATGGACTAAAAGGAATATTGGCGAAGTGAGTTGCTATCTAACATACTTTTACAACAAGATACAGAAGCCCAAAGCCAGTTACACGTTCACTTGGATGAGAGAAGAGAGATTGTAGTTGGGTTAACAATTTGAGGATGCCTGATGGGTACGCATTCAATTTATCCAGGTTGTATTGACATGAAAGAAGGGAAGTTGGCGTCAATGAAAAAGCCACGATTGTCATATTTTCATGGAAGCGTTGATGCCTATTGCGTAATGCATTGCCTGATCGAGTATGGAACCGATTACAGAGATAAGTTTATTTTTTTTAAGGATTTGTGTTCTAGCACATTGAGGTGGAGATTAATTTATATGGAGAGTAAACATTATATAACTTTAAACAAGTTGGCAAAATTTTCCTTTTGGTTTTTGATGTAATGGAACATCTTCCCAATTCCACCTTGCACAAGAGGCAAGGCTTGGAGGGCCGGCTCAATGTAGATGGATGTATCCCTTCGAGAGGTATAAAATTTAATCATTTACCTTTTGTATTTGCTTTAAAGATTGTTTTGTCTAAAATAACACTATGCAGGACTATTGGCAAATTGTAAACGGACCATAAAAAATAGATCAAGAATTGAAGGTTCGATATGAGGCATATGTGGCTAAAGAAAGCATCTTATTTCTGTTCATACTATTTTGAACATGATGTGCCATGTTTGAGAAATAGACCGAATCGGCCATGACGATGGATGGGTTGCATAAGAAAAAAGAAAAAGGATGGTACAAGAAAACACTGGGTGGAGACTCGTGTGTGGCAGACACAATATGTAAAATTCTAACTTCATAATTATTTATGCGTTTATTAATATTAGTTTGTTTACATAATAGTTATGTTTTTCATTTCAGGAAGATTATCATAAAAGGTTGGAAGAATGGAAACAAACTCAGCCTCCTTCAACTCAACCAACACCCGATGATATGGCTTCATTGTGGACAGATTGCAGCGGATGGAGCAAACAAAGCCAGAGTCTACGGACTAGGAGTACATCGACCTACAGGTCATCCAAACCAACTCTTAGCCAATTCTTCTCCTCAAAATCAAGAACGGATGGAAGATATGAAGAAAGAAATTCATGGATGAAGCAACAATTGGACTCCCAATACGGCACATTTGTTAAAGATGCAGAAATTAATGCGTAAACATGGGCATGATTTATCTGAATGATGATGATGAACAAATTGAATCTGATGTGTAGTAGTTTAGTCTTGTGATGTTTTGGTTGATTGGTAAACTTGATTGTGAGAGACAACTTTATGTATTGCTGTTAAACTTGAATATGGGCTGCTTTTGGATGTTTTTATGCCCAAATTAGGTTTAAATGTTGGTATTGGCAGAATTCTACCCAGTTATGTACAAACTTTCGACTGAAACGGTCGGAAAGCTCCCCAGATTTAACAATAAATTGTCAGATTCTCGACTGATTCGGTCGGAAACTTTTTAAAAAAAAAATTAATATTCAGAATTTTTCGACGGAATCCGTCGGAAATTAAATAAAATTTAATTTTTAATTATTAATTTCCGACAGATTCGGTCGGAAATTGCAAAAAAAAAAATTAATATTCAACAGTTTTCGACGGATTCCGTCGGAAAATAAATAAAATTTAATTTTTAATTATTAATTTTCCTTGTATTATTACGACCGATTCAGTCGGTGAATTCCGACCACTTTAGTCGGAAAAGCGAATTATTTGGTAGTCTGACCTCTTCGAAAGTTGCGACTACTTTAGCCGGAAATCACCGACGGATTCGGTCGGAAATTATTTTCCGACCAACTTTTTTTCGACCGACCAATTTCGGTCGGAAAGTAGTCGGAAATACGTGATTTTCGACCGAATTTCGACCGTTTTGGCCGTCGGAAATCTGCCATTTTCTAGTAGTGAGGCGGTTTGGGGCGGCGGCGCCACCGGAGAGGGTGAGGCGTGTTAGGGCGGCGCTAGTGTTTGGTCTCTGAATGGAGACGATACAAATGGGACTGTTTGGAACTGGGGGAGGGGGGGAAGGGGTCGTTCGGACATTTTTATATTGTAACTAAAACCTGTTCAAATCCGTTCGATGGAAGGAAGATCAACGGATGGGATGCATTTGAATGAAACGACGCCGTTTGGCTTGAGGAAAGGCTGGACCAGGTATGGGGTGGATTTTGGGCCGGATTTTGAACGGGTCTTGGGGAATTTTAATTGGGTTGGCTGAATTGGCCCAAAAATCAACCTTCTTATTTGAATCTTTTTCCTTTTCTTTTAATTTTCAATTTTCTTCTTCTTCCTTTTCAAATTAAATTAAAACCTAAATTAACTCTTAAACTAAAATAACTTACCAAATTAAACTAATTACTCATCATAGTATTTACAACAATTAATTAACTCCTAAACTAAAAGAAAAACTATAAAATTAGAAATTAAAAAGTTAAAATGCAAAGTGAGTCATTTTTTGTGATTTTCATTTTTATAAAACGACTGATTCAATAATTAACCTAAAAATGTAGAAATAAATCCTAAATGCAAATGCAGAGTATTTTTGTATTTTCATGAATTAAATGAAATTAAACATGCACAGAAAAAATGCAAATAATTAAGAAAATTCTACAATAATTCCTACATTGACAAACAATTAAAAGAAAAATCTATTCCTTTGGGATTCTGTAGGAGTATTTCATATAGGGCAAAAATCGCGTGCTCACACTTATAAGCCTCAATTTTAAATGGGCTCAAAAAAATCCTAACCCAACCCTATTCAAGTAGCGGACTGGGTTTGGCTGGCCTCACGGGCCAAGCCCATTTTGAAGGCTCTAGCTAAATCTATCCTTAAACTTCCGTTGGTAATATAGAAGAAGCGAACAAAAGTATGTTCACTTGCTTTCTTCTTCTGTTTGTTAGTATAATTGTATAAGATAATTAATATGTTTAGCTCTTTTGTTGCAGAAATAGCAAGTTGGTGATTAAGTTTTATCCTGACCATGAAATAATGGTTGACACATACACTGCTAGCTATATTACAATTTATTACAATTTACAAATCAACTGAAGTTAACTTAGACTACTAGTTTCCGAGAATGAATGCAAAATTCTTACAACGTAACCGTTGTTTCAAGTGGTGACTAATAGTCATAGTTGACCATTCACAAACATATAAATGGAAAAAGTTCAATTTTAGTCCATTAAGAATAAGTTATTTCTGCTTTTGATTATACTCGATCTTACAAAGTAAATATTTTTATTTTTATTTATGTCAAGATTATTTATCCAGCTTTAAAAATTTATTATGTTTGCCACAAGAATCGAAGAGCAAAAAATCCACAAAGCCCTGGAAAGGAGGAAACAAATTCCAAAAACATTAGAAAAGCCCTGTGTGGTGGTTCCCGTTTTGCCTTACATTTTCTTAGGGGACATAATTCTTTCTTAATTCCCTTAACCTATAGTTTCTAAGAACAATCATATTAAATCAAGAAACAAATGAACAAACTCTTTTTTTTGTTGTTGTTGGTATCATTGCATTACTTTACAAACAAAAAAGTTCTCTTGTCCAGTCCCCACTAATGATCTTGAAACGGGGAAGATAGGTAAAATGACTAACCCTAATTAATTAGTCAAAAAAAAAAATGGAGGGTCTACAATAAAAGCAAAGAGATTTTCTAGACCCACCAAATCCCCCACATGCCCAACAACCTTATCTTAAAACCATTATTCCTCCCTACACATTATGGTTACTCATATTACAGTTTGTCATTGTCACTTTTGTCTTGCAAGCGTAGGATAAGAGTCCATCTGACCAAATTGCCCTTGTGAGATAGGAGTGGTGGCCCACAGATTTAAGGGCATAGGTTGTTGCTGAGGTGGACCCACACGAAGATTGACAGGTGTACTTGTGGGACCCGATGCAACACGCTCACATGAAGGGCACATGGTGAGGGTGGTGGGAGGGGTCATTTGCATGTAGAATTGAGGTGAAAGCTTTAGTGCCCGTAGCTCTTGAACCTCTTTCTGTAATCTCCTGTTTTCTTCTGTCAGATTCTCAACACACCTCTTCAAGAATTCACAATCTACTTCAGTTTGCTTCAGCTTTGTCCTATATATTCCACAAAGATTATTTTCAGAATTTTTTTTTTTTTATAGGTAAATATTGTACTGTAATATATAGACGTCAACAGATTGTTTTCTTGTGTGATAGTAATATTGTTTCTTGCTTAAGGGAGTTGGAATGTTTTAATTTCTTATTTGGTGGAATATTGTTTTCACCTAGCTCTGATGTGCGGTCCCCATAATACGTCCATGAATCATCGTCAGCATGATTTGGTTTTCACATTTAATATGAACGGCAACAATAAACCTAATGTAATCCTACAGGTGAGGTTTAGAAAGATGATGTATATGCAGATCTTATTCTTATCCTATGAAAGTAAAAAGACTATTTTCGATAGACACTCGGCTCAAGTAAGGGTGGGAAGTAAGCAACAAGCTTCACATTTAATATACCGTTCAATTAATCTTTTGCTCTCCTAATATAAAAAAAGACAGCCCGGTACACTAAGCTACGTAGAGTTCGGAAAAGAGCCGGATCGCAAGGATCTATTGTATGCAGTCTTACTCTGCATTTCTGCAGGAGGCTGTTTTCACGCCTTAAACCGGTGATCTCCTGATCACGTGATAGCAATTTTACCGGTTAGGCTCCCCTAATATAGTAGAGCAGAAAAATCCTATTATTATAAAATGGAGACAGAAAACACACCTAGCTCTCCTATTCTGGAACCACACTTCCACTTGCCGTGCCCTCAATCCCAGTCTCTTTGCCAAAGCCAACTTTTGCTTCTGCACAAAAAGAAAATCATCATCAATACCAGTTAAGTAGAATAATTAAAATCCCCGAAAACGCCATTGAACTCATTGTATTTGTATCTAATAATGATGGTCTAATTAAATAGTTAACTTACAGGATTGAGGGTGCTGTGCTCTTTGAAGTTATCTTCAAGAACGGCCGACTGTTCCTTAGTTAAACGGAGTTTTTTTCTACAAGTTTCTCCGTCCTCTTCGTCGCTGATGCCTCTAGAGCAAGCCCTTTCCATTTCATGCTCGTCACAGTTTGGTTCTCTGTCATTTCGCTTATTGCCACTCACGCTTGAAATTGTGCTGTTCGGAGACGATACGCCGGCTTCTTCCTCTGCATCCGCCGTTGCCGGCAGCCGGTTCACGTCGATTCCCTTTAGAAAAGTCCTCGTCTCCACTCTGCATGTCTCCGAGTTCCGATCTGCAATCAATATCAAAAGATTTAAAGTGGGAAAAGGTCAATTTATTAATATAATTAAATTCCCTTCACTTTTGGTTACTAAAATGACAGAACAGCAAAAGGGGCATGAAATGCTTATGCATAAAAAGTGGTTAAGAAATTAAAAAGTAGTACGTAGAAAGAAAGGTAAAGATTTTGATCGATCAGATCCGAAGTTTATAAAATGAAGAAAAGCATTATAATTAACAAACCTGAGGAAGGAAATGAATCAGTCCAAGAGGTTTTGCGAATGAGATTGAGGTGCACGGGAGTAACTATCCTGTTCTCTGGAAAGCTTAAGCTGAGGCTCAACCCCAGATCTTCCATTTTTGCTTTATGTGTCTGCTCTCGGGGTCGGGGGGTTACGTTATTGAAAATAAAACTATAACAGCAGCTTCCGAAATTAAAGAAGATGTGGGATGACTAGCTTTGTGAGAATTATGAGCAATTTTCTGGTACGATAAGAGGAGAGAATTATATGAGTAGAGATGATGTCTTCCTAAAGAAGAGAGAGAAACAAGATAGTGTGCTTTGAAGCCTGATGAGTAGAGGTGCAATGAAGGGTATTATATATAGGGGTAGGAAGAAATAGATATGCCTTTTCCTTTTCTTTTTATTTGTAATGTAATAAAGGAAAATAATACTCCTAAGTACAGTTGGAAGTGTACAGAGGTGAAGGGTTGTGCAATTAGGCCAATCATGGGTCATGGGTCATCACTAGGGACGTACGCGGGTACCAGTTATCATTACTCCTCCATGTCCATACTAAGTAGGCGTTTGGACATAAGAATTGTAAAATTCCAAAAAAAAAAGTGAAAATGGTATTTGAAAATTAGAGTTGTGTTTGGACATGAATATAATTTTGGGTTGTTTTCGAAGTTTTGTGAGTGATCAGAGTGAAAATTTTGAAAAATAGTTTTTTGGAGTTTTTCAAATTTTTGGAAAATTCCAAAATACATCTTCAAGTGAAAATTGAAAATTTTATTAACAAACGCTGATTTCGGAAAAAAGTAAAAAAAATTCCAAAAAAAGAGAAATTTATTTTATGTCCAAACGGGCTCTTATGTGACTTTTTAGCCTTTGACACATCTTTTAAGAAAATACAAACTCCTTGAGAAAAAAATATATTCACTAAATTACCCTTAATTAATTTTTACCTTGACATTGAAATATGTAAATAAGGGCAAATTTTGGAGAAATAAAATTAATTCCTTCTTGATCATGTAAATGAAAACTTATTTTGGACAAAAATAAAAAGGCCTACCATAGTTTTTTCCTCTTAAATTTTACCAACCATTCACAGTGTTTCTTAATGTAAAAAAAAAATGCAAACTAAGGGAGAATATTTTTTGGGATTACTGCAGCGTCATTAGATTAGTTCCTCTGCAAATTAAACTTTGGACCGAATAATTTGTAATCGAGATGCTAATTTTATGACGGATTAGGTCTAATCTATCAAATGCTATTGAAGCTAACTCAATATGCAGTACTTTATTTGATACATTTATTATTTGAAACGTTAATATTATTTTTTAATTGAGATTTTTTATGTGCCTTTTAAATATTTAAATTATTAATTATTGTAACTTATAGTAATTTTTATGTTAATTACATGTACAATTTTTATTTCTAAATTTTAAAAATTTACAACCGAATTCACACAAAAAAATTAAATATTTTTTATCATATTCTCCTAATCGTCTCATATAAAATGGGAGGAAAGGAGTACTAATTATTCCCAGCTCCCGGCACAATTCAGTATGTAAATTCGAAAATAAAACACGGAGATTTCAAAATGAACGCAATAATCTTATAATATGTACATAATTTACATGTATGAATTTAACTCGAATGCTAAAAGGCAATTAATTCAATTAAACTCATAAGATTCGCTAGAAATTCCACTTAATCACTGTTATGGTGGCCATGTATATTTATAAAATAATACTCCTTCCGTTTCAATTTATGTGAACCCATTTGACTGGGCATAGAATTTAGGAAAAGAGAGAAACTTTTGAATTTGTGGTGTAAAATGAAGCACATATATTTTGTGTGGCTATAAATCATTGCATAAAAGTAAATTGTTTCCAAATAGGGAAAGAAGTCATTCTTTTTGGCACGGATTAAAAAGAAAATATGTTCACTTAAATTAAAACGCAAGGAGTAGATGAAATAAGGTCATATTGTGGTAGTTCTGGTATAACTTTAGAATGTAGCTTATCGGCTTGTAGTAACGGCCTCTAACTTTGACATTTCTTTCATTGTCTTTTTATTTTCTTTTGTTTTTTAACACCCAAGGAAAGCGATTTTTTTCCTAAAAAGAAAAAGATAGGAACTCTCGTACGAGGAGGTCTCTTTGGGTAAACAAGAAGACTTTTGTGATATTTTCATTTCTTTTTCTCTTTTTTTCACTTCATCTTGTTCTTTTTGTTACAAAACATAAGGAAAGAATTTTGTCTTTTGATGTTAGGGATGCTTAATATTGAACTGGTAGATCCCTGCATTAGTGGGATGCTATATGTGATATATTATCATAAACGTTATTTTCCTTAAATTTTTCATTATTCAAAATCTCAAATATATAAAGTTATATAAGGCCAATCTTAAAATCTCAAAAGATTTTGGACGCCCATAACAAAAAGTATAAAACTTTTAAAATAATAATAACATTATTAAACTGTACATATCTAACGTGCAATTGTTAAATATCATTTTGAAGTATTTCTAACATTTGTTGTTGAGTTAAGAACATCATACTAGTGAATGATAATTTAGTATTTAAGAATGTGTTTTTACATTTTGGTACATAAATTTTGTAGAAGATATATTTAATAAAAGGTAATGGATATACTATTGGATACCTAGAGAATCAAATATAACTTTTCACAAAAAATCATTTTTTTTTTACTAAGATAATTTAATTGTATTGAATTAAGTGGTTTTAAATTTAGATCGGCTATAAATTATTTAACAAACAATAATAAAATCAAAGGCGTGTCCTTAAAATATTAGTTAATCTTAATGTTTTAAATACTAAGCATGAGATTTATAATTTAAATTTTTTACTACTAGGAGATCTTACTAAATCAAATAATTATAATTATTTAATTGCCAAAAACTTTTAACTCCTTAATAAAAGAGGATACTTTCTTTACTTACAAATTAGAGACGTAAGATATGCATAGTTCTTCTATTTCAATTTACTTATAACTAAATCATAATAAGTGTTAGATTCTAAATATTAGAATCTAAATTCTAGAATTGGAAGGATTTAGAAATATTAAAGTTCTAAATATTAGGAGAATAATTAAATGACTATTCTTAAATATAAGGAAAATAATTAAATGACTATCTATATATTAGGAAAATAGTGAAATAACTATTTTGTCCAGTGAAAACTCTATTTTAAAGGGGTAAAAAGGCGAACGACATTTCACTAAGGGCCTTCGTGCTTTTAATATAAACTAGTATCTATAAACGTGCGTTGCACGTTAATAATGGCACATGATGGTTTAAATATTTACTTATATGAAAAAATAATAAAATTTAATTAATGAGAGAAAATTTATGTGTAATACTACAACAATAATCTAAATGCCAAAAAATATTGTTACATTAGCATAATACGTGAATTCAAAATGAAAGGATATCATCGGAACTTACATAAATGATCAGTTTTAGTCATTTTAAGTAGATAATTATGTATTGTAGTATAAATGTATCTAATGTGATGGTATCTTACCGAACACTTCTTTATAGACGGTATCTTTTTTTTGTATATGCTTCCTTCTAATGCTTTGGTTAATATGCCATAACCAAAACGCTTGTTGTCGATATTGATACCTGTCTTGAAAGTGCAACATATAATTACTCGTGTAAGAAAACATATTGTGATAAATATAGTTCAATATTTAGGATGTCTGTCCTTGTGCTTTATTTATTATAACTACAAAACATAAACATACTGAAAATTATTTTCACACAAATTTAAAAGGATATTCTTTAGTTTCATAAGACGAAAGTTGATTTTGGGGATAAACACATACTTAGACGCACATTGACCAATACCATAAGTTCTGCATGTATGACGTTATTGTCAAGACTTCTATCTACCATATGTGTACTATTACATAAGCTATTTAGTGAATCTAAGTATTCAGTAGCATGACGGGCATAAACCTATATTAAATGGAAGATCAATTTTAACTTAGTCTATTATATATATAGTGACACTAACATACGTAAGAAATAATGAACTTGACAACAAACATGTACAGTAGAAGCCAATTGGTATTAAAGTATTTAAATATTCGTCATGGTAGTTATTGTTGGTATCATCTTCTGTTGAGTCAAAACTAAAAAATATTTTATTTTTACCATAAAACTTAGCAATCAACCTTTTATTTAGTTGATCAACATATTAATTTCTGTTAGCTAAGATAGCACTTTAAATTTTTATTATGCAATTTGCATAAATTGCGTTTTAATCTAATGATGAAGATATTTTCCTTATTAAATGCACTACTATTACCATTGGGGTTGATAACAAAGTGTTCTAGAAGAACCAAATCATCTTTTATTGGATGCTCTTCTTTGTTTCCGACGCGACCCAAAAAGTCACTAAATCTTGGATCGGTTCTTACTTTTATATTTTTTTTATTTGAATATTTTTCATTTGAGATCATAAGTATAATTTTTGCAAGTTAGCTTTTACATTTTCTGCTTTGGTCAATTTTGGAACTACTGAACGCACTTGACAGAAATCACCTCCAAACTATTACTTTTCTACCAAACGGTTCAGATATCCAATATATCTCTCAAACTATGAGCGATTGATTCGATCGTCTGACGCTTAGCCAAAAGCATTTCATCCCATATTATCACTTTTGCTTTCCTTATAAATTTAGTACTATTGATCTGATTTGATATATTTGTGATGGTTATTTCAGTTATTTGAAGAGGTATATTAAATCTAAAGTGAGTTGTATGACCTCATAATAAAATCGTTGCTGTTACACCACTTGTTCTTATTGCTAACAATATTATGCCTCTTGATCTGACATTTGCAAGTAATGCATGACATATGAATATTATTTCGATTCCGCCGGAGGCATCTAAAAAGGATAATCTTGCTATACCAGGATCGCTTTTTTATAATATAGTCTTGAAAGCTTATTCTTGTTCAGGATTTAGCTTTGGCTGTGCTTCCTCAAACACTTGTATGGACTTCTTAATATTATATTTTTTTCAATTTGAAAAATAATTTTACTCATATGATGAATTTAAAAAATAATTTAATCGGATTCTCTTCCTAAATAATTAGTTGAAAGATTTAATTATTTGGTTTTAACATAAAATATAATTTTCTATTGAATTAGATTCTTAATATTATTTCATCTCACATTTGAATATTTAACCGTGATTATAATTTCTCTACCATAAATCTTATTTTCAAAGAGTAAAAAGATCGATGACATTCCACTTTTAGATCTTTATGTTTACAAAATCATTAGTGGTATTGGCTCTTACCAACATTTTTCTTTCTTTTCTCACACATTT